AAAGACTGAGCAAAGTATATGGTTCTAAGTGATTACAACCCAGGGGCTCTGTTTTGGGATACTGGACTGGTTTTATGCTCTGGTTCTAACTGTTGAACTCTCAATTGTGTGTGTCATATGGAATTTGTATGTGTTGGTAATTATATTTAATACACCTGACTCATGAGTAGGATTGGTCTGTTTGGTCCCTCATTTCGTGTAGCATTTGCACAAAAGATAAAGGTATATGTGTTACAACATGTAGAACCTGTGTTGGGCTATCAGAGAAAGAGGCCAAGAAATAAAAAATGCAGAGGCCAAGGATCTGATTGGCTGTTCAGTTGCTATTATTCACTTTTCAAAAAAGTGAATAATAGCAAAACAGCACACAAAAAAGTCAAGATGGCACAGACATAAGGCTGTTGCAGTTTTACGCATTTGCAATTGCTTTTGAATGCTGCATGCTTTTGTGTCCTTTCGTGCATTTGTAATGGGACATTCTAAAACACTTAACGTTGAAAACGCTTAACGTGGTACAAAGACAGTAATGTTAAAAGACCAAATTCTGTTCTCACCTTACTAACAAAGCATACTATGTATAGAAAAACTAGAATATCAACACAACACGTTTAAAGACATGTTAAGTGTTTTCTTTACATGGGAGGAAAAAGCTTAACGTGTAATAAAAAATGTTGTGTTCATATTCTGGGTTCATTTGTTTATTTATTTGGCTTATTAGTATGGTGCATACCGAATGGTTTAACACCATTGTCTTTGTACATTTTGTGAGTTTCTCACAATTCTGAAGAACCCCAAGAATTGTGAGATGTAAAGTCAGAATTGCGAGTTATACAGACATGGACAAAATTGTTGGTACCCTTGGTAAATATGAACAAAAAAAACAGTGAAAATAAATCTGGGGGGGGGATCTCATTATGATTTTTTTTTTCTCTCTAATACACGTTAGAAACAATTTATGGTGCCCTTAAAAATTCTTAGGAGTAAAATGTCTCTGAAGTATATTCCCATCCATATTTACATTTTTAGCACAGTAGGGTAATTAGGAACATGAAATTATCCAGCCATGACTTCCTGCAGGAGTATAAATATGAGGAACACAAAGGCCAAATTCCCTTAAACATTCATCACAATGAGTAAAACTAAAGAATATGGCTCTGATGTGCAGCAAAAGATTGTTGAGCTTCACAAAATAGAAAGTGGCTGTAAGAAAACAGCTAAAGCATTGAAATTTCCCATTTTCACCATCAGGGCAATAATTAAGAAATTCCAATCAACTAAAGATGTTACGAATCTGCCTGGAAGAGGAAGTGTTTCTATATTGTCGAAGAGGATAGTTTGAGTGGCCAAAGACTCTCCAAGAATCACAGCTGAAGAATTGCAGAGATTCGTTAAGTCTTGGGGTCAAAAATCCGAAACATTTTTTTTAAATCAAACAACCCCTACATCACCACAAGTTGTTTGGGAGGTTTCAAGAAAAATCCTCCTCGCTCATCCAAAAACAAACTCCAACATATTCAGTTGTCAGACACAACTGGAACTTCAAAAGGGACCTGGTTCTATGGTCAGATGAAACAAAAAAGAGCTTTTTGCCAGCGAATCTGATGTGTTTGGTGCAAACAGGGATAAAAAGTACCCTATGTCCATGGTTAAATATAATGCTGGATTTGTAATGTTGTGGGCCTATTTTTTTGCTGGAGGTCCTGGACATCTTGTTCAGATAAATGGTATCATGGATTCTAGCAAATACCAACAGATAAAAAATCAAAACCTGACTGCTTCTGCTAGAAATATTATAATGGGTCGAGGTTGCTGGTTTTGTGAATTTTTTTAAATAAAAGATCTAAAGTATAAACAATGCAGATTTATGTTCACAGGTTTTTTTGTACATATTTATCAAGGGTATCTACAATTTTGTCCACGTCTGTAAGTCAGAATTGTGTGATATAAACTCACAATTACGAGAAAATAAGTCAAAATTGCGAGTTTATATCTCACAATTCTGACTTTTTTCTCGCAGTTGTAAGTTTATATCTCACAATTCTGACTTATTTTTCTTCTCAGAATTGTGAGATATAAACTCGCAATTGCGTATTATAATGTCCAATTATGAGGAAAAAATAATATTTTTGTTTTGTTTTCTCAGAATTCTGAGTTTATATTTCACAATTCTGACTTCATAAAATGCAATTGAGACTTTATATCTTGCAATTTTGAGGGGGAAAAAAATCTGAATTGTGAGTTTATATCTCACAAGTCTGACTTTATGAGATGCAATTGCGACTTTATATTACACAATTCTAAGAAAAAAAAAAGTCAGATTTGTGAGATGCAAACTCGTAATTGCGAGAAAAGTCAGAATTTACAGCAATTACCTTTTTTATTTTTATTTTTTAGTGGCGGAAACAAGCTTCCATACATTAATGTTTTTCACTTTTTTTTCACGCATTTTAGTTAAGAATGTCCTTTTGCGGGGCTTTCTTCACTTTCGAATCTGCTTGTGTTCAGCAGGGAGGAAAGGGGGGAGCTTTAGAAGTTAATGTGAAAACCATAAGACAACTTGATTAGAAGCATCTAATGAAAAGTCCATACTGATTTTTTTTTATTATTATTATTATTTATTTATTTTTTTTGCAGATTTTGTTGAGAAATCTGAGCACAGTTTGAGATGTTGAGATCTCTTCTGAAACTCTAGATTACTAGGGTCTGTTTCTCAAAAGAAGAAGCTGAGAAGCAGAAGGCTCAGACATAAGTCTCTATTTGCTCTTCATTTAGTCTCATTTTTGTCTAAGAGAAACAACTGAGATACTATTTTTTTAGTCCTTTTGGAGTAAAACCATAAACTAAAGATGTAGGGAGTATATAATTGCAATATAATTTAATGCACATTCAAGAAAAACCAACAACAATACTTTAACAATAATACAGTTTCTTTTTTTTCCTCCCCATTCCTCCAAAAAGTGTAGTTTGGCAGTACATTTCTCTAATGGAGAGACAGTTCCAGGCTGAACGAATAACTCTATCCAGCATAGAGCTAAAATATTTAGCTACAGATCCAAATTAATACATTTAGAAACAACTCACGGTGTACACACAAAACAACACACACAAGATGTATTTTTAGTTTGTCCAAACTGATTTATATACATAATCTGGATAAGTGCTGCAACAACATATTGGGATAATTAATAGTTTTTCTGTATCACAATGTTTCTACGAAAATGACAACACACACACACCTCTTTTGCACACACTGAACCTGGAACAGTGTTATATAACACTCACAGTACAATTACTTGGTAGATTTCTAAACTATACATGAACCTTTATCAGTAATCCAAATATAAGTTACAGTATATTGGAAAGCCTTTTTACTAAACACTTTTACTATTCACAACAGAGCTAAAAAAAAGCATTGTTTTGGTATAACAATCAACATAATCAGGAAACACATCTATTATCTAACAATTTTTCAAATACTTGGCCAAGAGGTTAATGCATTGTTTACCCAACAGTGTTAAAGTTAATAAAACACATTATCATTATCTATATCATTTTACATAATATATTTCTGTCTTAATACTGCTGATGTACAGGAAGATACTATCTATACTATCCTCGTAGCTTGAGAAAAACATAGTTTGAAACCAAACTATTAACTTATAGGTTTGAATTGACATAACACCTTAATAGACCTAACAAACATACATTAAATTGAAATGGTTATTGCATAAACTAGTATGTTGTTGTAAAACTGTAAATAGTCATTTTGTTAGACACACTTGTTGATGATACAGATATATTCAAATAAAAAAAAATTTGCTGCATAATGGTGTTGCAGCCTGTGAGGAGACTCTGGAATATTCTCTCCACAGACTCCGGATTCCTAAACTGCAGACTTTACTTGAACTGACACCAACACAATTCCGTGTCAAAGTAACCAAATTTCAGGAAGTTTCCGACTCAAATATTTAATTTTGTTCATATTTTCTCTGAATAAAGACAAACATAAATAGTGATGAAAGCCAAAATATAAAATGTCACAGATGTGTATTTACTGAGTAATCCACTGTTTTGTAGAGGGGGCTCAAAATGACAGTTTTCACATGAGATTTGGAGCCAAATTACACTGGGGTAAAATGACTTTAGGAAGATGGCAGCATCAGTTTTATTTTTACACAGAGATTGGTGGGTCTATTAGTAAAATATGTTGACTTTAGTCATCTTTGTTGGATTATATGCCAAAGGTGACGTTTCAGAAATGGGGAAAAAGCACTTCTTGTGTTTTTTTGTCTTAAGTTTACATGCCTGTAACACAAGAAGTATTAATGATATCTTAATATCTTTTTAGATTTTGGTTCTTAACAAACTTTCATTTTGATATTTTAATTTTAAAGGCCCTCGATGGTTCAGTCATTGAGATATGGAGATCCTAATGAGTAAATGGGTAAATTGTACAAATTTTCAGTGGTCAAAAACCAAATGTGGGTCATTTTGCACACGGCTGATACGTTTTATATTTAAAGAGAAACATCTGAAGAACAAATAATGTTAAAACTAGAAATGTATCTTTATTTTCTATCAACAAACTTGCATAGAATTAAGTGTCTGTCAATCAAAAACTGAAAAGATGTCTCAGTAGATTCTAGTTATTAAACTTTTTATTTAGCTATCTTCATTTTCAAGGCCGATATATGGTTCAGTCACAGATATGGCGATCTCAAAGCAGCTCCACGTTCAAATTGTTGATTTTTACCCATTTTCAGTGGTTGAAAACCAAACGTAGTTCACTTTGCACACAGTTGATACTTATTACATTTATATAGAAACATCTGAAGACTAAATCATGTTTAAACTAGAACTGTCTCTTGTTTTCCCTCTTTCAATAAAATTCTGAGTAACAAAAATCCACTGAAAATTGACAAGTTGAGGAACATTAACTTGCTCTCAAAAGTGAGTTTATAAGAATCTTTATGTAAGTAAAAATCTAAATTTTTAGCCGGGGTCCTCTGGTTGAGTTGACATGGAATGGCCATATATTTGTTGTCAAGCATAAGTACATAAGTGCTTCATGACAATAAAGAGTACTTAAATCTGATCCTAGATTTGCCCCTTGTCAGTAGCAGTTGTTTCCTTTAACAAGGAAGAAAGTTCCAGTAGCCACTCCCAGCAGCCCCAGAGTCAATCCCACTCCACAGAACACAGATGGACCAACACCAGGCAGAGCAACATCAACTTCTGTGGGACACATACATGCAAGTGATACATTAGATAAAAAGTAAGGATGATGCATTTGTCATATAATGCATTTATTCATATAGCTTTGACATCAAATTACATGTCATTACATGACACTTATACCAAACTGAACAACATATAATCAATTAGGTATTTATAAATTGATAAATATGCTCATTGTATGTATTGGACTGTACATGTTGTCATTGAAGCTGTCACTGTTTATAGTTTGTCTTTGTGTTTTGTTGTTTGGTTTGTTTGCTGATGTGTTGATAATTGAATTTTATTTTGTTTCTATTACATTGTGATTGTGTTACACCACACGTTTGGCCCACCTCGAAAATAAGATGGTATTGTACATCTCAAGGGGTTAATCCTAATAAATAAAAATAAATAAATTAGCACTCAAATATACTAGGGATAGGAAACCTTTTTTTTTTTGGCAGGACCATGGAGACTGACAGGAAAGAGTAGGGGTGGAGAGAGGGGCAAAGGTCCTCAAACTGGATTTGAACCCCAGTCAGCCAGAGGCGCAGTTGCATCATTTGTCAGTGCGCTAACCACTAGGCTATCAGTGCCAACTAAACATTTTTTTGGGCTCGGTATTTTTGACAATTATCCTGTGGCCACCTGTGTGATAATTGATTAGACTCATCTGCTAGTGAATTCTTATTAATTAGAAACTTATTTTATGTTTTCACCTAACATGTTCTTTAGGGTGTACTCGTTTTTGCACCATAATCTTACATTATTTTGTTAGAATAGTTCCAATTTTGCCTTTGGTAGTGACTAATCTAATTTAAAACTAATAAACCAGATTTGCATATATTTTCAATGTTTCGGATCCCATAGAAAGTATTAAATTAAAAGCGAGATGGAAGTTTTTCTGAGAAATCTGTTGGGGTGTACTCATTTATGCTGTGCACTGTAGGTATTAGTACATGATTATTCATGTACTGTTACTGTAAAGTGTTACAATATCTTTCTAAATATGTGAACTTGTTACTACAATTTCAAAATAAAAGTTTAAGCCCTTGCTATGAGTTTGCATGTTTTGTTGTCCACATGTTATTGTTTAAGAAATGGTGGTGGCTGTAGCTTTTCTATCATAAAAGTGGCCAAAAATTTAAGATTAAATGGAGTTCCCTTCCGAGGGAACTTCGAACTGCGTCCTCTAGTGGACGCTATGGGGAACGCCTTCGGTGTGACCGGTGTCTGAAGCATACATCTAAACACGACAATAACATTGGCTGGCGACTGCCTATGACGTCATTACTGGCACGACTACAGTATAAAAGGGTGCCAGGAGAACATGTCATCCTCTTCTTCGTCTTCACTGACCGTTTGTTTATGTTAGCAGAAAGCTAAGCACGACTAGGAGTGCATGTTCTCTCGCCAGAGACTTTGCTCTGATACCCACAGTTTCACACAGCTCGTGTGCTGTGTGTGTGGTGAAGAGTAAGCGCGTTCAGCTCTCGAGGGAGTTGAATGTGCTCATTGCATTCATTGCTTATTTCTTGCAAGGGATAAGCATGAATTGAACATGCTCGACTCACGAGGAGATGGCTTGTGCTCATCATGAGGCATTCCTGGGACTACTGAGAGGGGAGGTGAGTTTCACTATTTACCCGAGTTTGTAGATTGCGTTTGCATGAGTGCGTTCACCTCTCACAGGAATAGAGATGCATTCGCGGCAGCGGTTTCTGTTCTCGCTTAAGCTCTGTTAATAACACTAGCCTTATGGTTGAGCTTGGCAGTGCTCTCCTCACTGCTAAGAGCCTGCAGCTCCCAGAGTGAGTGTTCATTCCCTGCAACCTCAAAGACCCACGGTCTTTCATTGAAGTTACTTTCAGGTTGAGCATTTTTCGGAATGTAATACTTTGTGACATGCTCCCTGGTGTCTCGGTTTGGTGAGTGCTTCGAGAAGCTGCCTCAGCCAGGGCAAGTTACTCATGTCTCTCCCCGAGGGGCTTTGTTAGCTTTGAGTCATCCACTCACCATTATGCACATTCTATAGAGTTCCTTTCGCTGAGGCGCTGAGCGATCTCACTCCCCTCTGCAGTTTCGATAGGTTATTAAAGGGCCCTTTTTTGGACCTCCCTGTCACACTGCCCTTATGGTTGAACCGGTGAGTCGACCCTCTGTGGAGTGGGCTTGAGTACACTGCCTTCCCTGAGGAGCATGGGACTGTGTTCAGCTGACAGTCTCTCATCAGGCCCTGTCAGACAGCCCCTTCTAGTCTAATGCTGCCTTCTGGTTGAGCCCCTCACTGCGAGGGTTAGCTATAAACCTACTGCTCCCAGTATGAGCTATGACGGCCTGCCTCAGCCTGAGAGCCGAGAGCGCCTCTTCAGAGAACTCCATGTGCAACCATACTGAGTTGTTAGGCCCATCCCTGTCTCCTCCTTGGTTAGTTGCCTCTATGATGGGAGCCTGCTGCTCCCTGTTGGAACACGTGATCCCCTTCTAAGCTTGATCCCATTCCTGGGGCCCCATCTGCGGTCAATCTGCTTCTCTGAGCTTGGCAGTGCTCCCCTCACTGCGGGAGGGTCTTTTATGAGCTCGCCGCTCCTAAGCAGATCATGTGAGTCCCCCTCTCTACCTGAGAGTTAGGAACTCTGCCCCTAGGCTATTGACCGTTCGTTCTGGTCGAGCTGGGTTCTTCTATCATTACTGAGAGTCACGCCCTCCGCTCCTTGAGCTCCGTGGCAGCAACACCAGGTAGTTTGGCCGCTTGCTGCCACCCTGGTGAGTTGCCCCTTTTTTGGTTGAGCCTAGCAGTGCTCCCCTCAACCTAGAGGGTCACCTTTGAGCACGCCGCTCCTAATTGAGCATCTGAGGTCTCCTCTCACAGAGTCCTCCGCTCCCTGGAGCTCCATTGAGCAGCCACCTCAGGTTGTTAGGCCTCTCTCTGCCTCCCTGTTAGGCTGCTCTTTTGGTTGAGCTTAGCAGTGCTCCCCTCATTCTGGAGGGTCACTTGCGAGCACGCCGCTCCCAAACTGAGCGTCTAAGTTCCTCTCCTATTCGGAGAGCTGAACCTCTGCTCTCTGGAGCTCTGGTTGGCAGCCACGCCAGGTTGTTGGGCCACCTTCTGCCTCCCTGGTGGGCTGCTTTCGGTTGAGCTAGCAGTGTTCCCCTTGCCATAGAGGGTCACCTATGAGCACGCCACTCCCAACCGAGCGTTGAGTTATCCTCTCGTTCTGTGAGTCAAGTTCTCCGCTCCTTAGAGCTCCATTAAGCAGCCACGCCAGGTTGTTAGTCCTTCCTGCCTCCCTGTTAGGCTGCCCTGAAGGTCGAGCTTGGCAGTGCTCCCCTCGCTTTAGAGGGTCACCTATGAGCATGCCGCTCCCTCCTGAGCATCTGAATTTCCCTCTCATTCTGAGAGTTGGGTGCTACACTTCTTCAAGTTATGTATGCGCATAATGCTCCAGAACCTGTCCTTTGACTACTATGGTTGAGTTGGCGATGCTCCCCTAAATTGGAGGGTTTTTCTATGAGGTACGCAATTTCCAGTCCACATGCGCTCTGAGCATGCAGGCTTTTAGCCATGTGTCTGTGACACACTCAAAAACTGCTCCCTTGAGTTTCTCACAGACACATGGGGTTCCTAGGCCTGTCTCGGCCTCGGTAACCCCTTAGTAATGGTGATTCTAAAATCCATGTTTATGGTAAGTGCACACGCTGAGATTCTGTGCACTTTCTAAAATCCACATCGTGGTAAGTGTGCACGCTAAGCATCCTGCGCACTTTCTAAAATCTGCTGCGCTGCCAGCCTCGTACCCTTTCTCTGAGTTGGCTCAGGCCCCGGTTCTCGCCTTGGGCCCCACTCTACTGATGTATCCTTGGTGATACCTTTCTTAAGCAGGGTGTTTGCTACCAAGGATCTGTTGCCTCAGTTCCTTTGCGCGAGCTCTTGAGAGAGCTGGTGATAGCCCCTGGGTGACAGGCCAGGGTCTAGTTATATCGTCCCTAGACACTTGGCCATATCCCCTTAAAGGAATCTCTCTGTTTCTGATTCCAAGCCTTCGAGCTCTGCCCTGGCTTCCTCAAGCCCAGCCCTTAACAGCTAAGTTCTTTGGGTACGCAGCTCAGGCCCTTGGCCGAAGGGGATTGTGTCACTGACAGCCGTCAAGGCATCCTAGGGGCAACTCCCATAACCTCGGTAGAGTTGGTACTTAGTGCTCGTCTTGGTGTTTGGCATGCACTCCCCTCAGCATGGCAGCGTGGGTATACCATTCCCCATAGCGACCACTAGAGGACGCAGTTCGAAGTTCCCTTGGAAGGGAACGTCTCAGGTTACACATGTAACCCTGGTTCCCTGAGCAGGGAACGAGACACTGCATCCTCTAGAAGCCTCGCCATGCTTCGGAATCGAGCTTCAGACAATGAAGTGGATGACGAGTTCTCCCAGTGCCCTTTTATACTGCGGTCGCGCCGGTAATGATGTCATAGGCTTTTGCCGGCCAATGTTATTGTCGTGTTTAGATGTATGCTTCAGATGCTTCATGCCGAAGGCATTCCCCATAGCAACCGCTAGAGGACGCAGTGTCTCGTTCCCTTCTCAGGGAACCAGGATTACATACGTAACCAGAGACGTTTTAAGGATTTGAGTATGCAATAAAGTATAAAAACAATAACCAGGCCGTTGCAGGCATTTGTTACAATGCGTAATGTATATGTAAAAGTCTAGACCCTGAATATAAGACGACCCTGTTTTTTTTTCTTTTCAGATGTATTTCCAAGAAAAAAAACACATTGTCTCATGTTCAGAACAATACGGTACCTAAAGGCACAATGTGTAGTATTTCTGTATTAAAATATCTAAAAACCACTTGCACAGTCTTATATATTTCGGTCAATTGTGTACTTACATTATCCAAAATGTTTCCAATAATTTGTCAATTCAGAGAAATTCATAGTGCATCCTGGTGCCATGTGTTCCCCAGGTAAGTGACACACACGCACCCGGCCATCCATGTGATGTAAAAGAAAACCTGATT